TATATTGACAACAGCTTATAGTCAGGGCTCAATCAGTAGCAACGAAGACTCATATGATCTGAACACATGCAGAAGAAAAAAGGCCCCCACCCCATCCCAACACCAATATGGAACAGACTACTTTCATGTTTCTCTGAGGTGTTACAGGTAGTATGGCTAGCATGGGGAATGTAGGTTGAAATAGCTTTACACACCAGGTCTAAATTAGCAGAATTTTGAAAGCAAGGTGATTTGAATTGATAGCGTGTTACAGACAGAATGGATTCTTTGGCGTTTTTGTTCAGAGTACTAAAAACCACAAAACAACAAAAAAAAAAAACCTGCACAAGATTCCTTCTGCGTTTTTACTCTAATTGCATATTGGGTAATCACCTGAAGTGCTCCTGTTGTACCCATACGGTGAGGTCATTGCCTCACGTTGCATGGGATGAAGTAAGGAAAATGGACACGTTCCTCAATAAGACTCAAGAGCAAAAAATATTGACATTGCACTCTCCTCTGTAGGCACAAGAAGCCCCATTTCAATCGAGCTTTCAACTGGTGCAGGACAGTACTACTGACGACTCTACTGAGCTAAATGAAGCTTCACTAGACCCAGTTTGTGCTTCTCATGTATTATAATCATCATTCGAGTCACAGGGTATCTGTGATCTCTGAAATACCCAGAAGGCTGTTTAACAAAACTCTTCTGAAGAGATTTACAGAACTCTATTTGCTGCATGATAAATGTTGTTTCCTCAAGCTGTAGATTATGTCAAAATAAAAGTTTTGTTAACAGTTATATTATATATATATATTCATCTTAAAATTTTATTGTTTTATATTTTCATACAAAAAAAAAATGTTTCTTGTGTCAATTCCGGCAACTTGGATGGAACATTGAGCCACACATTGGGAGATATGGTATTTTTTTTCATCCATATGGTTAGAAGAGTCTTTATAACAAGCTGCTGTTGTTAAACAACCTTCTCTTTAAGTTAAACTTGAATGTAATGTCAATACATGAGAGGCACAGACTGAGGCTTCACTACATTCAAACATTGTGTTTTAAGTAACAGTAAGTGGAGCTTCTCTTTAAACCGGACCACCTCAACCCAAACATTATTCAGCTTATGATCTTTGAAGAATATAAACTCTTAAGCGTTTGTTTCTGTGTGTGAGGTGCAAAGTGAAACAACAGCAAGGCCGTCCTCCTCTCCAGCTCGCCAATAACTCACACCGTCAACTGGGCAGGTTGATTACTGCGCAGAGAAGGAGGAGCGAGTTGGCAGCCACCCTGTTGTGACATTCAACATACAGGCTGCTTCTTAACTTTGACACATGTGGAGAGACTAACAGGGCATTTCCACATTTGTGGTTAGATTGTTTTTGGGCAGACAAGAGCTACAAAAACAACAGAGCGTGTGACGTGCTGGAATGATGCCTCAACATATATCAGGAAGAGTGTAAAGAAATGTTTACATATGCTTCAATGTTAAATGTAACACACTAGGCTGTATCCCCACCTATATTATAACATTTTATTGACCATACCAAACCCATAATTCCCTCTCTTTAGCCTCACAATCACTGCTTGCATGGTATACAGCACACCAAGACAAACAAAGTCTCTTTCCTTATAAAAAGGTCAAAGCTGTCAGAGGAGAGATATGCTGAATTTTAATGTAAAACACTTCTCCTGAATGTTAACAGTTGGTTTGTTGATGGCAGCACAAAAAAAAAACAAAAAAAAAAACAAAAAAAAAAAACAACGTGGTTGAGAGGAACCACTAGCAGGAAAAATAAGAATCCCACAATGCAAGTGATGAATAAGTTCAAGCTACGCCGCTCCTCGTTTCTCCAATCTGCACTTATCCTCTGGGAAGGGAAAGGGGGGAGGCGGGGGGGGCATCTGAGTCACATGGAAATCCTACCACTCCCAAACACCCCCTTAAATCACAAGTCTATTAAAAAAAAGTGACACCTCCCAGTCAGTGATGAAGGATTTCTAGAGGAGGAGGAGGAGGGGTTTGTGTCAGAGCCAGAGTCAAAGTGGATTTGATTGCTTGAGGAAGAAAAGAGGCAGAAGGCGTGTTTCTATCAGGGAGGGAAGGAGGGAAGG